AAGACACATTTGGAAGGGTTGATAACTAACCCAGCTTCCTTGAGTTTTTGAAAGACGATGCTAAGATGCTTCCTATGCTCCTCCAGAGAAGAAGACGCGATAAGAATATCATCTATGTAAGCAAAAGCGAAATCAAGATCCCGTAGGGCATGATGGATGTACCGCTGAAAAGTCTGCGCGGCGTTCCTTAGACCGAATGTCATGGAGACGAACTCGAAAAGACCGAACGGCGTTATGACAGCCGTCTTCGGTATATCGGCCTTCGCCATTGGAATCTGGTGGTAGGCCTTGAAGAGATCAAGGGAAGAGAAAATCGATCTACCTAGTAGGTTAGAGGTAAAATCGTGCAGGTACGGTATCGGATACTTATCCGGAATTGTGACGGCATTCAAACGACGATAGTCGCCGCAAAGCCGCCAGTCACCGTTACCCTTACGGACGAGGTGGATTGGACTGGCCCAAGGACTGCTGGACGGCCTACAAATGCCTAACTCAGTCAGCCTTTTAATTTCAGCCTTCGCTGCCTTTAACTTATCGGGGGGTAACCGGCGTGGTCGCTCAGCGACGGGAGAACCGTTAGTCGCGATGTGGTGTTCGACAGCCCATGCGGCAGGCGAAAGCGCCTGACCGCTCCCGGTAACCTCAGGGAATCCTGAAAGTATGTCCGCAAATTTATTATCGTGACTGACCAAAGGAATTTTAGTTTTTGGTACAGCCAGTACTTGTCCGGCCGACGACAATGAGGTAACACTGTCGACCAGACGACGCTTGTGCAGGTTGACGACTAACTTATAGTGCGTCAACACGTCTGCACCGAGGATCGCAAAGGGCACGTTCGCTACGCGAAACTTCCACACGATAGGATGCCGCAAGCCTAGATCTAGAGTAAGAAGACGCTCGCCGAACGTATCAATTACAGTATCATTAGCTGCGAAAAGTTTTAATCCGGAAGGCGTATTTTTATCGCGCAGGGACGCTGGGAGTATAGATATCTCCGCGCCCGTATCAACCAAAAACCGTTGACCGGTAGTCCGATCAAAAACATGAAGACGGCTTTGTTTCTGCCCCGAATCCCCGACCGTCTCTTCGCGGGGAGAGCGGTTTAGTTTTCCGCCGCGTCATCTTTCCACGAGCAAGGCTTGCGGCAGGACGTGGCTTTCTTCCCGTATTTACGGTGAATGAAACAGTAGCCTGTCTTATCATCAGACTTATCTGTTTCATCACCACGCTTAGTCTTATTACGCGTACGGGATGTGGACCGTTCGCGTCGCATTTTTGCGAACGCGGTGCTCAAAGATTGCATCTGTTTATTCAGTTTATCAAACCGCTCATCGACGCTCAACGGGGCTTTAGAGCGGGATTTTCTAGATTCTTTTGGCGCGACTACCGCGACTGCGGAACTAGGACTACTAATGTCCGCAAGATTATCCGCGGTTTCTGCTAATTTCTGGGGGTCAGGCTCGTTCATTGCAACCAAAATGGTCTTATGCGCTTCGGGCAACAACTCAAGAAAAAGAGATTTTATTACGGCATTGCCCGCCGTTGAGCTGATTCATCTGACTTAGTAGATGAGAGAGTCTCCGGTCCCCCAGAACCTGACCTTTTAACAATTGCCGTAAGCGGGCCTCCGGTGAGACCGTAAATGTCGCGAGAATCCTGTCTTTGAGCGCTTTGTATAAGTTATCAGGCGGTGGATCCGCCTGAATCAAATCTCGGATATGCGATATGACCTCTGGATCGAGGCTAGCGATAAGGTAGTCGACTTTAGTACCATCGACGGTTATGTTCGCGTTTCTAAACGACGCTTCAACACGCAAAAACCAATCCTCCGGGGCCTGTCGCCAGAAGGGCGGGATCTTAGGCACCCGGTACGATTCTACGCGCGCGTCATCGTCCGGCATGTTTAAACTATGGGACGCGTACCGCAAACCGAGGAGAAATGCGAAAAAAGAAAAGAAGCAAAGGAGGAATACCAGGGAGAGGCAAAGCATATGCCTCGACGGTCTCGAAGTTCTCGAAGAGGCGTCGTCCCTCGAAGGAGGTGTCGCTCGAACCCGAGATGTCCGCTGGTATGGCTGCGCAAGATGCGCGTCCGCAGGGATGGCTGCGTAAGCGCGAAAGCTGCGCTGGCACGGCAATGCCCGCCGGAATGGCTGCGCAGGATGCGCGTCCGCCGGGATTACTACGCCGGCACGAAGAAGTCCGTCGGGATGACTGCGCGGGATGCGCGTCCGCCGGGATGACTACGCCGGCACAAATCGTGCACCGACCTGGGTGCGCCCTTAACCTGGTTCGGCCGCGTCGTCGGAGATATCACAGGGCGGAATCCCGCCGACTTGAGTCCGTGGATGGAGAACGACCGATGTACGTCACCAAAAATGGCCTCCCTCGGGCGGTGATAGGCTCGCCCGAAGTTTCGGGAAGGCCCGAATAATGGACTTGCCCGGGCGTCGGTGATGCCACAATTTCGGGCAGTCCGAGGATCCTCAGGGCCGATAGAGCGTGGATGAGGTCCTCTTCGTGCTGCAGGTCAATCCCCAGAAAGCGGGGGAAAGGACCTGAGCCTCGCCGTTGATCTTTCTTCCGCCGATGCGAACGTGAAATGCGCGGATGCGCATCACGTCGGGGTCACCAATTGTGGGGCCTAGTCGATGTATTTACAGCCCGGCTGAAGTGCCCACAATACTTCCTTGCCGATAGCTGGTTGCGAAGGCGGGAATAATCCACTCACAATTACTGGAGATATATATGAACTTTATTAAGATCTTGGTACACGGTAAGGTGATCGGTCTTGACCGTGACACAGGCGAGTTACGACTAACATATTCTGTTCCCGCTCGGACAGCGCCACCGACGACCATAGACTGTGTCGTCGTATAGATGGGCAACTACAAGTCGCCACATGTATCTCGCGCGTCGCTCCACCTCCCGCTCATCGATCGATTTTCTTAAATGCCTCCCGAGTCCGGCCTACCGTCTCCTGCATCCTCATTCGCTCAAACGTATATATTTTTATCTTGATAACTATTGTTACTTTGTACCTCGGTACATGATATTTCTCCTTAGTTTAACCCAATCTACCGCTATTTCCAAAATTGCTACTTTTGCATCAGACACCCTGTATAGTTAACCCTAAGCTTATAATACCAGCCTTTTTTTTACTTTATTAATTTCTTTTCTTCTCATTTTATTTTATTATTATTATTATTATCCTTTTTTTTTACTTCCTTTTCTCACTATTTTATAAGTTGATTTTAATTTTAAGTACCAGCGTAGTTATAAGAATTAAAATATAGTATTAGCCCTAACTGTGTAATATTATAAGTAATTATAAGTTCCTAAATTTCAACCTTTCACCTCCAATATTTCACTTTCAACAGTTCATATTGTATTGATATATTATGTTTAATCTCCTTAATTTAATCTTAATGTTACACGCCAGCGCGGCCTATAAAAATTAAGAATAATCCTATTATAGATATAAGTTTCAATATCAGGAAACAAAATTTGCACTCAATCTTATAACTATAAGTTGACTTCAATCTTAGATATAAAATTTCTCCTTAAATTTAATCTTAATGCCACACGCCAGCGCGGCCTATAAAAATTAAGAACAATCCTATTATAGATATAAGTTTCAATATCAGG